GAAACGGTAGCGAGTTTCAATTTTGAAGTGAGTGCAATCTAATTTTCGCTGAGTTTGACTCTCGAAGACCTGACTGGCTGCGCGTCTAGTCAGGATGTGCTGGCATGACTGCAAAGTGTCGCATCGTGGCCCCAGTGTGCTGGAAGAGAATCGCTTGCAGGCGATTCTGCTTTGTGACGCGAAATTTTCGACTCGGTTGAAATGGCAAGAGTGAAACATACAATTTGGTGTCTTAAATTGATAAATTCGTATATGTCATTATATAAGCGCATGCACCTATAAAAATGACTCAATTAGAAGCGCACCCCCCTAAAAAACATTGTTTTATTATAAGCGCACCTGCGCTCAGGGCCTCAGATTCGTTTTGGGTGACCCTGAGCACTCAGGGTCCTTTGGGGCTGTAACACTGATCATCAGGGTTGTAAATGGAGAAACACTGATTTCTCAGGGTTAGAAAAAAAAAAACCCTGACACATCAGCGGGAGTTAAAAAAAAAACACTGGCGGTGAGAATCCACAACAACTATCACAAGTATAATAAGTTAAGAAAAGTTCAAATATGGTTCTAATGAGCTTCTAATCTAACTACAGGCACAGACCACTTGGCGCTCACACCGCACACACAATTCACATCACACGCATGTCTTCATCTTCGTCACTACCACCACCATCGCTCATAGAACCGTGCCTGTGCACGGGGGTCTCTGTCCCCCACCCAGAGCCAGCACCACCAGCATCATCCTCGTCCACCTTCTCTTTCCCCTTAGCACTAGGTTGCTTCTTTGGTGCTGCCACTGTTGTGATGGGCTTGCGCTTCTTGTACGCCCTCCAGATCTTCACCACCTCCGCCCAGTCGGGCTCGTACGGCAGCAATGCCATGCACATGAGGTCCGACAGCCGCGCATCCTTGATGGCACCCCTCAGCCAGCTCTTGATGATGTTTTGACGCGAGAACCCCCGCTCGCACTCGACTGTGCTCAACGGTAGCACAGCGACAGCCATCCACAGCTTCACCAGGTTGGGGTACGCGTCCTCCCAGTCAGGAGACTTCAGCATCGCCGAGAGACCCGGGTAGAACTTTCTCTCGGACTTCGGGGCTCCAGCGAGAACCGTGCAGAACGTGCGGAGCTCCTTGAACGCCTTCTTCTTGTTGACACCTGGAGGGAGTCACGGAGTGCGCAAGCACAAGGAAAAGAACAAGGTAAGCAAGGCTCACCAGACAAGTGGTGCCAGTGTTTAGGTGCTACACAACAAAGCAGCACAAACAACGATGCACAGACCAAAGAGAAGTACGTACCTGGAACGATCTCGTCGCACTCTTGGGCCCTGAAGAGCGTCGTGAGGGACTCAAGGTGCTCCGTGCAGACCATGGAACGCTCCTGCCGTCCATGGGGCCACTCGTCGGGCATGAACAGCTTCACACCGCTCAGCTTGTCGAGTGAACCCAATCGCTCATCCAGGTTATGCACGAGCGCCTCCGCCATCGCCGTGCACTGCTCCACGCATCGCTCATGGGTCCCTGCAATGGGGTAGCCTTCAAGGGGGGAATCATGCAGCACGTAGCAGTGAGAAGTGGGCCGGCCGTCGGAGTCAACCCACTCGACCTCCACTCTCCGCACCCCATTCGGTCCATGTCGTGCAATGAAGGGCGACAGCTTCTCGCTCAGGCCGCCGCCGAAGTCGTCGCCACAATCCACATAACGGCTGTTGATGTGGGTTGTCGTGCGACGGATCTGGCCTTGAATCGCCAGCAGGTCAATCTGCCACACAAAAACAGTAGGGAAAGCACAGCCAGGTTTCAATCATGAAGCAGAACTAGCCGTAGCTAGCGGCCCTAAACCCACAGTCCTCATGGCACACAGGGATGCACAGGCAAAAGCAGGATCTCACCTGTCGATGCTGGAACGTCTTGCTGAGCACGTTCAGCTGTTCCAGCACGTCAGCGAGGAAGCGCAGCATGAACTGGAATCTGTAGCTGGTCACCATCTGGTACATGGGCTTGTTTCCCAGCTCGTGCACCATCACGACGACCCCCGGAAGGACTGCAAGAAGTCGGCAGACTGCATCGCCGCGTGAGAGCCAACGCACATCATTGATTCCTTGGAGCTCCAGGTTAGTCTGAGTGAAGACTTCCTGAAGGTCCAGGAAGCGCTGGTGCCAGGGTCCTGATGAGCCGAGGTAGGTGGAGAGCCAGCGGATGAAGCTGTCGACCATGCCAAACTCCGGTAGGGACTCTGCCGCGTCCTTGGCCGCGAGTGCTTCCCTGCGATTAAAACAAAAAACAGTCGCATTTGGTTAAGTAGAAGGAAGGACACCATGTTCAAATAACAAATACCAGTCGCATCGGACACTGCATCAACCACCGTACCTGTGAGCGATGCAGTGGCAGGACACCAGATGCGGAACGCGCGTCCTCAGCCTCGCCACCAGCCCGTTTTTGGATCCGACCATGACGCTCGCCCCGTCGGTGCTGATGCCCGTGATTCGGCGCAGGTCAATGCCGACGGCATTGACATGGGATAAGAGCAACGCCACCAGCGATGTGGCGTCTGCCCTGTCCACGGTTAGGAGGGCAAAGAACTCGGTGACTACTGCCCCGTCGCGGATGAATGTGGCATAGATGATGAGATGCTTCCCACGGCATCTGTCCGTAGACTCGTCACAGCTGAGGCCGATGTAGTGGCTTTGTAGGACGTGTTCGAGTTGTGTTGTCTGCAGCCACACGGCCGTTGCCTGTGTTAGTTCCCCAAAGCCGTACCTGCATAGACACCGAACATATTTGTTAGGCTTACGTGGTTGTGAACAGGAGAGGCTTTTAATGCATGCGCTCGTAAGCACTTACGTGGTGTAGTAAGTGCCGTATCCCTTTTTGGGAAAGCCGCGGACCTCGTTCTGAGCCATGTAGCGAACGAGGCGCACCCACGTCTCCATCGGCAGATGGTTCTGGGTGGTGAAGTGAAGGGAGTTCAGAAGGCTGATGACGCGGGTCGTCTCGTCATCTTTGGCGAGCGTATGCTCGTCAATTCGCGGCTGCTTCCCAGCCTGAGCTAGCATCTGCTTCTGGTGATTGATGGCCAACTGGTGCTTGTTCGTCGCGGCATGCCGCTTGAAGGCTTGGGTCTGAAGATCGGTTGCACCGTGCCCACTCTTGCCACACTTGCCACCGTCACCTGCAAAGTCGATGCACAATCTGCACTTGAACGCAGGCATGCCAGCAGTGTTTTTTATGAGGATGAGCCATGGGTAGTCGGTCGACCACGTCGACTTGAACGTTTCAAGGGCCTCTTCGTAAATCAGAGTGGTTAGTGACGGTTTTTTAGAGTTAGATGGCGTGGGCGTAACGTGGTTTACCGACTCGCCGGCATCAGCGAGAGGACGTCCAGGATCTGTAGGATCGGCCCAACGGAGCACGGCCTGCTTGTAACGAGGCGGAGGCTTCGACGACGACGCACGAGATGGCAAGCGGACGCTCGGTCCGGCTGCTGACGGCACGGCCGGCTTAGCAGTATGCGCGGGCTGGGGACGATCGTCTCCGCGGCAGAGGCCAGACGCTTCACCAGTGTTTGCTACTGAGGCGACGGGACCTGGCTTCTCTTTTTCATGGGAGAGCGCGGAAACTAGAAAATCTAGTCCCGTTCTGGCCTCCAGCATCTCGGTGGCGGCGTAAAGTGCATCGTCGTCATCATCACCGCAACTGTTCTCACCGGTGATCGCCATGGCGCGTTCACGTCACCTTCCTGAATCGGTGAGTAGTAACGAGAAACCCTGGGAGAGAGATTGCAGAGATTGATGTTTCGGGAGGTGATGGAGTCTGGAGAGCTGGCTTCAGGGAGACTGCAGAGATTGATGTTTCGGAAAGGGATGGAGTCTGGAGAGCTGGAATGGCAGAATCACGAGACCCCCTGCGTGGGGTGCCTGAGCGGGCCGCCCCAGCACGCCCTGCCTTGGTGAAAAGAACAAGGCAGACCACTGGCCCACTGGGCCACTAGGCTTGGTTGTTTGTGCACATCAATGGAAAGTAATGACAAGTGTAGGTTATCCAACGTGACAACGGTACATTGCTTCAGCTGGGACAGCCAATCTCTTTACGCGTTTTGCCAACACAGCCCGAAATTAACCTGTTCAACTGTATCTGGGCGCGCCGCAGGGTGGCGTCGGTGCAGGGTGGGTTCATGCATGATGACGGCGCGCAAAACTGCGAGAATCACGGAGTTTTCGGTTTCAGGGTCGTCTCCGATACAACACTGACTCGTCAGTGTCGACAAACTAGAAACACTGGAAATTCAGGATTAGGAAAAGAAAAACACTGATTCATCAGGGTTGTAAAAAAAAAAAGGCTGATTCATCAGGGTTACAATAAAAAACCGGGGTCGAACATCAGGAAATCAGGGTAAAATTCCTGGAATCTGAGGCCCTGCCTGCGCTTCTATCCGGGGTGATACGGTACCCTGATTCAAGCCTTTACGGATCCCAAGCACAGGCTGATCCGGGTGTGTAGAAATTCGCTGTCGGGAGTGCGCACATGCAACGTATTCAGTGCGCATGTTAAGAAACAAGAGTTCGAGCAAATGCCCACACTTTCAGCACAGCACACAGCACACACAGACGCCTTCTGAGTAAACATCTCAAGTCTTTTCTCATCATTAAGCGCAGCACTCAGCAGTAGCTACTGAATGCAACAACGTTAGCAGTGGCTAGGATGTTAGCAAAGAGAACAACGCCTCCATCCGCGCCATGAATAGCCCCTTCTTTAGTAAACTCTCGTAGCTCGCGATGTATAGCCGCCCAACTAACTCGTGTGCGCCCGACATCACATCACGTCACTCTCATTGTGCGCCTGCTACTAAAACACTCACACACTCACGCCATTGCCAGTGTCTGTTGACTGTGCCTCACACCCAACATGCTGGTACACCACATCTGATATAACAGATCTGATACACCATATTTGATACACCACACACATGAGCTCAGCAAAAACAAACTCCGACTGACACAACCCTAGTACCCCCCTTGCATGTGCTCACCTGCTCCCGACCCAGCCACCCCACCCTCCCCAATCGCCTCTCCTGCCATGCTCCCTTGCCCCTGCCCCTGCCCATACTCCCCACCCTGACCCTGCTGCATCTCCCCCAGTGCCCCGCCTTGCCCTGGCCCCTCCATCCCTCCAGGGATTTGGCCCATGGGATCAGCACCCATACTACTGCCAGGGGCAGGAGGAGGAGAGGTGACAGTACAAGTGGGTGGTACCGGGGTAAACGCAGGGTTTCCCTGCATGGCGATAGGGTAGTTGTGCGATGAACCCCCCTGCTGCGGCTGCTGCATTGCTGCTGCCACTGGTCCTGCTGTCCCTCCTATTGGCATTGCCTGCAGCTGCTGCTGCTGCTGATACTGCTGCTGCGGTTGTTGGTACTGCTGGTGCTGGTACTGTTGGTGCTGGTAGTGCTGGTGCTGCTGCGGCGGTTGCTGCTGTGGCAGCTGTTGCTGCTGCTGTTGCTGCTGCTGCTGCTGCTGCTGCTGCTGGGGTTGCATCATAGGCTGCATGCCAACATATGGTGCGCCCTGCTGTTGCTGATAGTGCTGCTGCTGCTGCTGCTGCTGATACGGTTGCTGCTGGTACTGTTGCTGCTGTTCCTGCTGCTGGTACTGTTGCTGCTGCGCCTGCTGCTTATAGTACTGCTGCTGCTGCTGCTGCTGCTGCTGTATCTGCGGCTGTCCCATGCCCGGCACTTGACCCTGCATGGGCACCACCCCTGCACCTGCAACCCCTGCTTGGTAAGCATTACCCCCACCCATCACCCCTCCTCCTGCCATTTGCATCTGAGGCGCACTCCCCTCTATCCCCACCATCCCTTGCTGTGGCACCTGCTGCTGTGCCTGCTGCTGCTGCTGCACCTGCTGTTGCAGCTGCTGCTGGTGTGGCAGGTGCACGGCCGGGGATCCCTGAGTCTGGAACTGAGGTGCCATTGGGCCTGGGGCAAGTGCAGATGCACCCATAGCTTGCGCTGGAACCTGTGCTGCCGGCTGGTACTGCCCCTGCTGCTGCTGCTGCTGCTGCTGCTGCTGGTGCTGGGGCGGAGAGTAGATCACAAGGTCTGCCCTGCCAGGCTGACCCCCCGGCCCTCCTGCTCCGGCCACGCCACTCCCCACACCATTAGCACCTGCAGAGCCACCCATGGGTGGCCCATTACTCGTGGAAGGAGGTGTCCCGTTAGTGGGCGCTCCTACAGCTGTCTTTGGTCCCCCGTTCGTGGGGCTGCCTATCCCAGGTTCAGTGGGAGAGAGTGGGCCTCCCAGTCCGCTCTGTGCCTGCCCGCTCCCTGCTCCTTGCTGCCCCTGCTGCTGCCCCTGCTGTTGCTGCCCCTGTTGTTGCTGCTGTGCCTGTGCAGCAGCCTGTGTGGGTGTCATTGCACCCTCTCCTGGTGATGCCTGCTGCTGCTGCTGCTGCTGCTGCAGCTGTGGCGGCTGCTGAGAATGCTGCGCTGGTTGGAGTTGCTGCTGCTGTTGCTGTTGTGAACCGGGCGGTGGCTGTGTGGGCGGTGGAGGGGTGGCTGTGGACGCAAGAGGAGGCGCAGCAGTGGCGGGAGCAGCTGGGGAGGGCGGGAAGACATCGGAGAGGGGAGGCGTGCAGAGGCCCATGGCTCGCAGCACGTAGCTGTCGTCGTGCAGCTCAAAGGGAGTGCTGAGAGAGGAGAGGACAGGGAAGGGAGGAGAGAAAAGAAACTTAAGGCTTCAGGTAGCAGAGACCCATGGCTCGCAGCACGTAGCTGTCATCGTGCAGCTCGAAGGGCGTTCTGTCAGGGAAGGGAGGAGAGATTGGAATGAAAAGGGAGATGTTGGGATGGGATGGGAGATTGGGGTTTTGGGCTACGGCACTTCTGTTGATGAGGGGGAGGAGTGCAGAGGCCCATCGCACGCAGCACGTAGCTGTCTGTCTCCTTGAAGCTCAAAGGGAGTGCTGGGAGGAAAGAGGAAGAAACTCAGATGGGAGAGGGAGATGGGGGGTTTCAAGCTTACATTGTGGTTTGAGTGTACGTGGTTAAGATTGTGAGGTGCTTTAACGTGAGAAAGGCTGTGAGCAAGCTTACGTGCTGAAGTCAAAATGCACGAGCTGCATGTCCTCTGATATCTCCACCTCCACTGTTGCCTGTGGGCGGGTCTGCTCCGCGCCATAGACAGAAAAAAAAGGGGGAAGAGGGAGGAAGAGACGGGGAGGAGGGAGGGAGAGAGAGGGAAGAGGGACGGAGAGAGAGGGAGAGAGGATAAGGGGCGAGTTCTTCTTCAACAAGTTTGTGGGAGGTACAGCAATCTTTGCATACTGTTGCAATCTTTGCGTACTGTTGCAATCTTTGCATACCGCTGCAATCTTTGCATACCGCTGCAATCTTTGCATACCGCTGCAATCTTTGCATACCGCTGCAATCTTTTGCATACCGCTGCAATCTTTGCATACCGCTGCAATCTTTTGCATACCGCTGCAATCTTTTGCATACCGCTGCAATCTTTGCATACCGCTGCAATCTTTGCATACCGCTGCAATCTTTGCATACCGCTGCAATCTTTGCATACCGCTGCAATCTTTGCATACCGCTGCAATCTTTGCATACCGCTGCAATCTTTGCATACCGCTGCAATCTTTGCATACCGCTGCAATCTTTGCATACCGCTGCAATCTTTGCATACCGCTGCAATCTTTGCATACCGCTGCAATCTTTGCATACCGCTGCAATCTTTGCATACCGCTGCAATCTTTGCATACCGCTGCAATCTTTGCATACCGCTGCAATCTTTGCATACCGCTGCAATCTTTGCATACCGCTGCAATCTTTGCATACCGCTGCAATCTTTTGCATACCGCTGCAATCTTTGCATACCGCTGCAATCTTTGCATACCGCTGCAATCTTTGCATACCGCTGCAATCTTTGCATACCGCTGCAATCTTTTGCATACCGCTGCAATCTTTGCATACCGCTGCAATCTTTGCATACCGCTGCAATCTTTGCATACCGCTGCAATCTTTGCATACCGCTGCAATCTTTGCATACCGCTGCAATCTTTGCATACCGCTGCAATCTTTGCATACCGCTGCAATCTTTGCATACCGCTGCAATCTTTGCATACCGCTGCAATCTTTGCATACCGCTGCAATCTTTGCATACCGCTGCAATCTTTGCATACCGCTGCAATCTTTGCATACCGCTGCAAATGGATGGACTGCTGCACAAATGGACTGCTGCAAATGGATGGACTGCTGCACAAATGGACTGCTGCAAATGGATGGACTGCTGCACAAATGGACTGCTGCACAAATGGACTGCTGCACAAATGGACTGCTGCACAAATGGACTGCTGCACAAATGGACTGCTGCACAAATGGACTGCTGCACAAATGGACTGCTGCACAAATGGACTGCTTAGGCTTGAGCAAGGTGGCGAACACCTGTTCGGTTCGCCTCGAACGTGTTCGAGGCGAACCGAACAGTTTTTGTTTTTCAGCTTAAATCGTTCGCCCGAACGTGTTCGATGTTCGCCCGAACACGTTCGTGTTCGTGGCGCTGCTGCAGAATGCCCCGTGTCGAACACGAACGTGTTCGAGGTTCGCCCGAACATGCCTCCACAGGCGAACAGCGAACACCTGTTTTTGGCTAAACTGTTCGCCGAACCGAACAGTGTTCGGTTCGGCAAAAGGGCGTGTTCGAGAAGGGGCGAACACGAACATGTTCGTGTTCGCCCTTTGCTCGTTCGAGGCGAACCGAACAGTTTTTGTTTTTCAGCTTAAATCGTTCGCCCGAACGTGTTCGATGTTCGCCCGAACACGTTCGTGTTCGTGGCGCTGCTGCAGAATGCCCCGTGTCGAACACGAACGTGTTCGAGGTTCGCCCGAACATGCCTCCACAGGCGAACAGCGAACACCTGTTTTTGGCTAAACTGTTCGCCGAACCGAACAGTGTTCGGTTCGGCAAAAGGGCGTGTTCGAGAAGGGGCGAACACGAACATGTTCGTGTTCGCCCTTTGCTCATCCCTAGGACTGCTGCACAAATGGACTGCTGCACAAATGCACTGCCTGCTGCACAAATGCACTGCTGCACAAACGCACTGCTGCACAAACGCACTGCTGCACAAACGCACTGCTGCACAAACGCACTGCTGCACAAACGCACTGCTGCACAAACGCACTGCTGCACAAACGCACTGCTGCACAAACGCACTGCTGCACAAACGCACTGCTGCACAAACGCACTGCTGCACAAACGCACTGCTGCACAAACGCACTGCTGCACAAACGCACTGCTGCACAAACGCACTGCTGCACAAACGCACTGCTGCACAAACGCACTGCTGCACAAACGCACTGCTGCACAAACGCACTGCTGCACAAACGCACTGCTGCACAAACGCACTGCTGCACAAACGGACTGCTGCACAAACGGACTGCTGCACAAACGGACTGCTGCACAAACGGACTGCTGCACAAACGGACTGCTGCACAAACGGACTGCTGCACCAAACGGACTGCTGCACAAACGGACTGCTGCACAAACGGACTGCTGCACAAACGGACTGCTGCACAAACGGACTGCTGCACAAACGGACTGCTGCACAAACGGACTGCTGCACAAACGGACTGCTGCACAAACGGACTGCTGCAGCACAAACGGACTGCTGCACAAACGGACTGCTGCAGCACAAACGGACTGCTGCACAAACGGACTGCTGCAGCACAAACGGACTGCTGCACAAACGGACTGCTGCAGCACAAACGGACTGCAGCACAAACGGACTGCTGCAGCACAAACGGACTGCTGCAGCACAAACGGACTGCTGCACAAACGGACTGCTGCACAAACGGACTGCAGCACAAACGGACTGCTGCAGCACAAACGGGCTGCTGCACAAACGGACTGCTGCACAAACGGACTGCTGCAGCACAAACGGACTGCTGCACAAACGGACTGCTGCACAAACGGACTGCAGCACAAACGGACTGCTGCACAAACGGACTGCTGCACAAACGGACTGCTGCAGCACAAACGGACTGCTGCAGCACAAACGGACTGCTGCACAAACGGACTGCTGCACAAACGGACTGCTGCACAAACGGACTGCTGCTGCACAAACGGACTGCTGCACAAACGGACTGCTGCACAAACGGACTGCTGCTGCACAAACGGACTGCTGCACAAACGGACTGCTGCACAAACGGACTGCTGCACAAACAAACTGCTGCACAAACTGCTGCAGCACAAACGGACTGCTGCAGCACAAACTGCTGCAGCACAAACGGACTGCTGCAGCACAAACGGACTGCTGCACAAACGGACTGCTGCAGCACAAACGGACTGCAGCTGCACAAACGGACTGCAGCTGCACAAACGGACTGCTGCAGCACAAACGGACTGCTGCAGCACAAACGGACTGCTGCAGCACAAACGGACTGCTGCAGCACAAACGGACTGCTGCACAAACGGACTGCTGCACAAACGGACTGCTGCACAAACGGACTGCTGCACAAACGGACTGCAGCACAAACGGACTGCTGCAGCACAAACGGACTGCTGCAGCACAAACGGACTGCTGCAGCACAAACGGACTGCAGCACAAACGGACTGCTGCACAAACGGACTGCTGCAGCACAAACGGACTGCTGCACAAACGGACTGCTGCACAAACGGACTGCTGCACAAACGGACTGCTGCACAAACGGACTGCTGCACAAACGGACTGCTGCACAAACGGACTGCTGCACAAACGGACTGCTGCAGCACAAACGGACTGCTGCACAAACGGACTGCTGCAGCACAAACGGACTGCTGCTGCACAAACGGACTGCTGCACAAACGGACTGCTGCTGCACAAACGGACTGCTGCACAAACGGACTGCTGCACAAACGGACTGCTGCTGCACAAACGGACTGCTGCACAAACGGACTGCTGCTGCACAAACGGACTGCTGCACAAACGGACTGCTGCACAAACGGACTGCTGCACAAACGGACTGCTGCACAAACGGACTGCTGCACAAACGGACTGCTGCACAAACGGACTGCTGTACTTTCCAAAATCAAAGAATTGCTGAAGCTCCTTCACTCTCCTTGGTCGTCCGCATACGTACAGCCGTACGTAAGGGTCTCCTGAGACGTCTCTAAGTAATGGACGCTTGCTAGGGTATGCAACGGTACCATTCTGCTTCCGCTTCCGGTAACTGGAACAACTACTTGTCATGCTGAGGCAGCTTCCGCCGCACCTCCTATGAGTAAGCTGTACCTGCACGAGAATGAATGGCAGCGCCACCCCGCCGCCCGCAGGCGGGCCCCCCTGCTGGCTGCTGGCCTCGTTGCGCCGCATGAGACGCTCGATGCCGGCCATCTGAGAGGTGGGTGGCACACACATGTGAGGTGGGTGGCACACACATGAGGGATACGTGGGTCCATGCATGCGTGCGTGCATGCATGCGTAGGAGCAATCATACGTAGGTTCATGCATGCATAGATGCATGCACGGACAAATGCATGTCAACAGGCAGAAGAGCATGCAAAAAGGAACACCGAAGATGTAGACGAGAAGATAGAAGCAGCAGCAATGAAAATGGAGCAGGATGGAGCAAGCGCGAGGGGGGGAGAGAGAAGGTAGCATACCTGTTTCTCAAAAAGGAATGAAGAGGAGGGAGGGGAGGCATACCTGCTCCTTGATAGAAAGTGGAGAGGAGGGAGCGGAGGCATACCTGTTCCTTCAACTCCTCGAGATGGGCTGCCTTCTTCTCCACCCGGCTGCGCACGCGTGATGACTCCGCCTGGAAGAAAGCACACACAGAGGCTCAGAGGCATGTCAAATGCTGGTCAATTGTTGATCAAATGCTGATCAAATCCTTGTCAATGCTAGTCAGCAGCAGGAGAAACAGCAGCAAAGCACGCAGCAGCAGCACAACCAGGAGCAGCAACACACACCAGGAGGAGCTGGTGGGAGGCGGAGGAGGGAGGGAGGCCCTTCCACTTGATCTCCTTCTTCTCCTTGGAGATGATGTCCATCGCCATCAGCACGTTCAGCGCATCGTACACCCGCCGCCGTATGTTCTTCTCGTCGTACTGCTGCCATGGGGAGGGGGAGGGAGGGGGAATCACCGCAGGCAGAGGGGGTTTGGGGCAGAGAGGGGAGATGGTGGGATACAAGGAGGAATGCGTCGTACACCCGCCGCCGAATGTTCTTCTCATCATACTGCTGCGAAGCGGGAGGGGAGAGAGAGATGGGAATGGGGGCAAGCCATGGGAAAATGGGGGAAGGGAGAGGAGTTTTCGGGCAGAGAGGCGAGATGCCTCGTAAATGCGGTGCTGGACAATCTTCTCGGGGATGGAGAGCCCAAAGAGACGAAGCGCCGGGGCAAAGGAGAAAATGGGTGGGATCAGCAACACGAGAGCGGCATGAGAGGGTAAGAGAGTAGGTTGAGAGGGTAAGACAGTAGGTTGAGAGGGTAAGAGAGTAGGTTGAGAGGGTAAGAGAGTAGGTTGAGAGGGTAAGAGAGTAGGTTGAGAGGGTAAGAGAGTAGGTTGAGAGGGTAAGAGAGTAGGTTGAGAGGGTAAGAGAGTAGGTTGAGAGGGTAAGAGAGTAGGTTGAGAGGGTAAGAGAGTAGGTTGAGAGGGTAAGAGAGTAGGTTGAGAGGGTAAGAGAGTAGGTTGAGAGGGTAAGAGAGTAGGTTGAGAGGGTAAGAGGGTGACTTGAGAGGGTGAAAGAGTAGCTACTGATGGTAAGAGAGTAGGTTGGTAGGAGAGTAGGTTGGGAGGAGAGTAGGTTGGGAGGAGAGTAGGTTGGTAGGAGAGTAGGTTGGTAGGAGAGTAGGTTGGGAGGAGAGTAGGTTGGTAGGAGAGTAGGTCGGGAGGAGAGTAGGTTGGTAGGAGAGTAGGTCGGGAGGAGAGTAGGTTGGTAGGAGAGTAGGTCGGGAGGAGAGTAGGTTGGTAGGAGAGTAGGTCGGGAGGAGAGTAGGTTGGTAGGAGAGTAGGTCGGGGGGAGAGTAGGTTGGTAGGAGAGTAGGTCGGGAGGAGAGTAGGTTGGTAGGAGAGTAGGTCGGGAGGAGAGTAGGTTGGTAGGAGAGTAGGTCAGGAGGAGAGTAGGTTGGTAGGAGAGTAGGTCGGGAGGAGAGTAGGTTGGTAGGAGAGTAGGTCGGGAGGGAGGGAGAGTACCTGGTCTTGTGGCAGGCTGGCACTGCCTTGCAGCCCTGTGAACTCTGCCACTAGCTCGTCTGCTACCTGCAGGTTTTGGCAAGGTGTGGTGGGGTTGGGCAGGGTTTGACTGGGTTTCGCAGGCAGGCCGTGAGGTTTCAGAGTTTGAGAAAGGGGACACACCCGCTTGAGGGTTGACGTGGACACATCACTCACAGGACCCGCGAGGAGGGAAGAGAAAGCAGAGAAAACACGGCCTGCAGTGCACTCACACACCACATGGCATGGCACATCTGTACCTCGTTGTAAGTGGTGCACCATGAACCCCTTGGATTCCACCTTCTGAGGCGCCTCAAAGATGTGCTCTCACTCACACACCATATGGCACACACACACATACCTCATTCTACGTGGTGCGTCCCTTAACTCCACCTTCTCACACACTGCCATGCCAAGGGGCAGAGGGGGGCAGACAAGCAGGCACGTGTCCTGCTGTGCTTTCACACACCACATGGCACACTCACACATACCTCATTGTATGTGGTGCGTCCCTTGGATTCCACCTTCTCACACACTGCCATGCAATAAAAGGACGACGGGGGGGGAGAGAAGGAGAAGGAGAGAAGGAGCGAGTGAAGCCTTGTGCCACTTCATATTCTTCTCTCAAATGGGACTCCAAATTCTCAGGCACGCTGTGCAAGGGGAAAGGGAGGAAGGACGCAGATGCACGGGCATGCAGGGAAAGAGAAGGGCGTACGTGCCCGCATCCTCTGCTTTCCTTTCCACGAGTGGTAGGATTGGCAACAGAGTGAAACACCCTTTACTGTTCTCCTTCCTCCTCTCACCTTTCATGCTGAAATGCCTGAGTCCCTTGCCTCTGTCTGCTGCCCGGGGCAGTCGCCGCTTGCGCTTGCTGCTCCCACAGAGGCACAGCAGCAGGCACAGCAGCAGGCAGAGCAGGAACAGCAGCACGGGAGAGAGTGAAACAGGAAGACAAAAGCAGGAGAAAGCAAACGGTGGGCAGGTGGAAGCAAATCAGCAGAACAAGCAAGTAAAAGAAGCAAGACAACTCTTGGAAGCAAGTGTGTTAGCAGCCCAGGCAGCATGGCCGTTCATGCAGAGTACAGGCAGAGAGTGCACAGGGACTGCAGGGCAGGCTGGGCAGCATGGCATCTCATTGGGGCCCAAGGAGTCAGCTGCAGCTGCATCCGCCCAATACTTGTTCCCTGATAGCATCATCAACCCCACCACCCCCGCCCCCACCCCCGCCTTCATCCCCATCCCCATCCCCATCCCCACGCCCATCCCCCGTCCCTTAAGCGCTTAAGCAGGCACATTCAGCTCAGGGACAGAGAGGGACAGCAGAGGGACAGCCGGCAAGAACAGCCACTCACGCGTCATTTGGGGTCCAAGGAGTCAGCTGCAGCCCAATCCGCCCCATACTCGTCCCCTGGTAGCATGCCCTTCCCCACCCGCACCCCCATTCCTATTCCCATCCCCACCCCCATCCCCATCCCCACCCCCATCCCCACCCCCATCCCCATCCCCACCCCCATTCCCATCCCCATCCCCATTCCCATCCCCACCCCCATCCCCACCCCCATCCCCACCCCCATCCCCATCCCCATCCCCATCCCCAGTACCCCAAGCGCTGAAGCAGACAGGGACAGCAGGGGGACAGCGGGACAGACAGAAGAACAGTCACTCACACGTCATTAGGGTCCAAGGAAACAGCTGCAGCCCATCCGCCCCATACTCGTCCCCTGGTAGCATCCCATTCCCATCCCTAACCCCACCCCCACCTACACCCCCATCCCCACCCCCAATCCCCACCCCCATACTCATCCCCAGTACCCCAAGCGCTTAAGCAGGCAGCGACAGCAGAGGGACAGCAGGGCATCAAGGCAGCCACTCACGCGTCATTAGGGTCCAAGGAGTCAGCCGCAGCGCCATCCGCCCCATACTCGTCCCCTGGAAGCATGCCCATCCCCATAGATACCCCCGCCCCCATCCCCATCCCCAGTCCCGACGCCCCACTTGCTGCTCCCCCCGCTCCTCCCCCTCCGCCCGCGCCCCCCCCAACCCCTCCGCCCCCCCCACCCCCCCCTGCAGCAGCGGGGACAGCGCCCCCCAGGCGACCACGGTCAGTGGAGTCCCCACTTTCCACTGACCGCCCCCCTGCTCCCCCTCCCCCTCCCCCTGCGCCCCCCGCTCCTGCGCCTGGCACTCCCCCTCCTAGAGAGGTCTCCGCCCACCCCCCTGCTGCTCCCTGCTGCCCCCCTTGCTGCTGCTGCGACTGCAGAGAAGATGGTATTGGCTTGGGGGGAGGGGAGACTGCAGAGGGGGGGGGGGGGGGGGGGGGGGGGGGGGATGGGGGGAAGAAAGGTGGGTGGGGTTGGGGGAACAGGGGGGAAGAGAAGGGGAAGAGTCTCTCTGTCAGTGCGGTTTTCTGCTGTGCCCCCTGCGGCTGCTGCGAATGCAGAGCAGATGGTATTGGCTTCGGGAGAGGGGAGACTGCAGAAAGGGGGAAGACGGGCAGGGGAACGGTGGGTGGGGTTGGGGAAACAGGGGGGAAGAGAAGGGGAAGCGACTCTCTGCGGCTGCTGTGACTGCAGAGCAAATGGGATTGGCTGTAGGGGAGGTGAGACTGCAGAAGGGGGGTGGGGGGCAGAGAGGAAGGGGAGGGTGAGGGTAGGGTTGGTAGGGACGAGGCTTTCAGAAAGGGTTATTCGCTCCAAATGGAATCAGGGTATTCACTCCGTCCGTCCGTCCGTCCCTCGCCCCCACTTTCCCCCCCTCCCCCCCCTCCCTCCTTCCCTCCCTCCCTCCCTCCCTCCCTCCCTCCCTCCCTCCCCCCCCCCCCTCCCTCCCTCCCTCCCTCCCTCCCTCCCTCCCTCCCTCCCTCCCTCCCTCCATCCCTCCCTCCCTCCCTCCCTCCCTCCCTCCCTCCCTCCCTCCCTCCCTCCCTCCCTCCCTCCCTCCCTCTCTCTCCCCCTCCGTCCCTCCCTCCGTCCCTCCCTCTCTCCCTACCACTCTACCCTCCCCGCTTCCCTCCCCTCCTCCCCTCCCCGGTCCCCATTCCATCTCTCACCAGGCGACGGTTTCGGCCCATCCGCGTGGGCGGTGGCGATAACTGAAGTCATGCGCCAGATCCAGCACGCTCCGCACCTCTTCTCCTCCCCTCCCCCCTCCCATCTCTCACCAGGCGACGGTTTCGGCCCATCCGCGTGGGCGGAGGCGGGGATGATCCCGAGGTCGTGCGCCAGATCCAGCACGCCCGTCTCCGCAAAGTCCGACAGCAGCGCGTGGGGAACGCTCAGCGCGCCCTGCGGGGAGCCCTGCGCCTGCGCCTGCGCGTGCGGTTGCGGAGCGTCTCTGTGCGCGGCGGTGGATTCGGGCGCAGCGGTCCCCGTGGCGTTCGCCCCGCGCGCGTCTGTAGCAGGCTCGCCCCCGCCACTGCCGGGCCTCGTCGCGCGAGCGTCTGTAGCGGCGGACGGCACAGGGCTCGTCGCACGATCATCCGCGACGGGAGGAGCAGACGCGGGGTCATTCCGCGCGCCGCCAGTCGGTTCCAGATCCGAAGTTGCGGGTTTCGCCGCGCCGCCTCCTTCGGATACGGCGGGTGGAATTTGTTGCTGCTGTTGATGCTGTGGCTTCAAATCCATTTCAATTAATATTAGTACCAACCATATAGGTAAGTAACGCACTTACTTGGTACCAACTATATGGGTAAGTAACGCACTTACTCTTGGTTCTAACCATATGGGTAAGTAACACACTTAATCAAGGTACCAACCATAGGGGTATGTAACGCACTTACTCGTGGTACCAACCATATGGGTAAGTAACGCACTTACCCTTGATACCAACCATATCAGTAAGTAACGCAATTACACGTGGTACCAACCATATGGGTAAGTAACGCACTAACTATTGGTACCAACCAAATGGGTAAGTAACGCAGTTACTTGTGGTACCAACCATATGGGTAAGTAACACACCTACTCTTGGTACCAACCACATGAGTAAGTAACGCACTTACTCTTGGTACCAACCAATGGGTAAGTAACCCACTTTCTCTAGGTACCAACCGTATGGGTAAGTAGTGTACTTACTCGTGGTACCAACCATATGGGTAAGTAACGCACTTTCTCGTGGTACCAACCATTTGGGTAAGTAACGCACTTACCCGCGGTACCATCCATATGGGTAAGTAACGCACTTACTATTGGTACCAACCATATGGATAATTAACGCACTTACTCGAGGTACCAACCAGATAGGTGACTGACAACCTTACCCGGGGTACCAACCATATGGGTAAGTAACGCACTTACTATTGGTACCAACCATATGGGTAAGTAACGCAATTACTCGTGGTACCAACCATATGGGTAGAAAACGCACTTACTCTTGGTACCAACCATATGGGTATGTAACGCACTTAGTCTTCGTACCAACCAAATAGGTAAATAACGCACTTACTCGTGGTACCAACCATATGGTTTAGTAACACACATACTCGTGGTACCAACCATATGGGTAGGAAACGCACTTACTCTTGGTACCAACCATATGGGTAATTAACGCCCTTACTCGTGGTTGGTACCCATATGGTTGGTACCAAGAGTAAGTGCGTTTCCTACCCATATGGTTGGTACCACGTGTATGTGTGTTACTTACCATATGGTTGGTACCACGAGTAAGTGCGTTATTTACCTATTTGGTTGGTACGAAGACTAAGTGCGTTACATACCCATATGGTTGGTACCAATAGTAAGTGCGTTTTCTACCCATATGGTTGGTACCACGAGTAATTGCGTTACTTACCCATATGGTTGGTACCAATTGTAAGTGCGTTACTTACCCATATGGTTGGTACCCCGGGTAAGGTTGTCAGTCACCTATCTGGTTGGTACCTCGAGTAAGTGCGTTAATTACCCATATGGTTGGTACCAAGAGTAAGTGCGTTTCCTACCCATATGGTTGGTACCACGAGTATGTGTGTTACTAAACCATATGGTTGGTACCACGAGTAAGTGCGTTATTTACCCATTTGGTTGGTACCAAGACTAAGTGCGTTACATACCCATATGGTTGGTACCAAGAGTAAGTGCGTTTTCTATCCATATGGTTGGTACCACGAGTAATTGCGTTACTTACCCATATGGTTGGTACCAATAGTAAGTGCGTTACTTACCCATGTGGTTGGTACCAAGAGTAAGTGCATTACTTACCCATTTGGTTGGTACCAATAGTAAGTGCGATACTTACCCATATGGTTGGTACCAAGAGAAAGTGCGTCACTTACCGATATGGTTGGTACCAATATTAAAAGCGTTACTTACCCATATGGTTGGTACCAAGAGAAAGTGTGTTACTTATCCATTTGTTTTGTACCAATAGTAAGTGCGTTGCTTACCTATATAGTTGGTACCACGAGTAAGTGCGTTACTTACCCATAGGGTTGGTACCACGAGTAGGGGCGCTACTTACCCATATGGTTGGTACCACGAGTAATTGCGTTACTTACCTATATGGTTGGTACCACGAGTAAGTGCGTTACTTACCCATATGGTTGGTACCACGAGTAAGGGCGTTACTTACCCATATGGCTGGTAGCACGATTAAGGACGTTACTTACCCATATGGATGGTACCACGAGCAAGTGCGTTACTTACCCATACCGTCAAGTCAAGTTGCGAACCGATGAGCGCTGCTGCATTTCAAGTAGTACGCGAGTATGAGGGACGTATGCTGATGAGCAATGGCTGCGAATGGCGTGCGAGCCTAAGGGCGTTTCATATGCAGTTTAATTTGGCTAGAAACCCTACCCAAACGCAATGGAGCCGCTATGACTTGCACAGAATCGCAGTCCACCGCAATAAAGTGAACTCGTATGACACGCCCTAAACAAGGCGCTCCTCGAGGCATTTTGAGGACCACTGAATCTGACAGGCTATTTCACCAATCATGTGCGGGTGTGATGGCAGAGGTGCTCCAAACGAACTTTCAGACAGTCAAGATGGGTAACGTCGTGGGCACGTGTAAAAGTCTGCAATCTCAATCTAGTGGCTCATTTCAAAGCCCGAACCATACTCCGGACTAAGAGTTGGTTGCATTACGGAACTGTAGCCCGAGAACTGCAGTGCCCGGAAATAGCGAAACGCGGAATTGCACGAAAGACAGTGCGAGGCGAGCATGCGAACGAAAATGTGAGGGTATGGCCCATTGCCCTCAAAGCCAGTGTTGCAATGGGCTGAGACGCGGTTCTGTGCGTTGGAAATAGTTAAATGGCGGGCATTCAAAACCTTTGAACCTCGAGATTGGGGAGTGGTACCCCTGTGCGCCCAAGCATATCCCTATGCCGCTCCAAGGTTTCCAGGCTGTACGTTTCTTGTACGTTTCCAGGTCGTTCGCACTTTCACCATCACTTGGCATCCGGGGCAAAATAGCACAGCTACAAAATCGTTTTGGACTGTGTTTAACCGACCTGAACCACAAAGAATGAACCCCAAATGTATTACCAGACACGAAGGGCCTTTTTGAACATTTGAGTTGCAAAAGCTCGGCGCTCTGAAGCAGGAGAAACAAGACAGCAGTGAGACAGGAAGCAAGAGAAGAGCCACAAGACAAAAGAACTGCCATGACAGTAGTTTCTGGCGTTCCACCAGCCAAAGCAAAGTAGGCGGCAAATGCTGAGGAAAAACCACACAGTACCGTCGCTAATGGTTCTGTAGTCCCGACGGTGATCGTCTTCCCTCGTTGTTAGGCTGTTGCCTAGGTCTCCTGCCTGGCAACACTTATTCCAACTTTGGTGCTTTCGTCTCACAGCGACCGCTAACGTCGCACACCTCGCACAAACGTCGCGCGGCCTCCGCTATGGCGCGCGGGATTTTCATATGAAAGCACCCAGCGGCATTACCGCCGCTCGCCGCTTTCCCTCACAGCATTTTTCGCGAGACGCGCACCAGACTTTGCTCAAACGGATAACATTGTAACGGCTGTGTTTATCCCACAAACCACGTTCCTTTCCTGCTTGAATAAATATCGACCCGGCGCCTGTATGGGGAAAAGGCGAGCGAAGCGGTTGTTGGAGTCCTACGAGGCGAATGGCAAGCGACTCGAACGTACGTGCTGTGGACGCCCTATCTCCTACCATTTCACCTTCTCTCCATGACTTGTACTAGTAGGCTACCCGTGATCTTACCCCACGCTGTCGCTTTTCCTCTGAAGTCCTCCCCTGCCGGCCGTTCTTATTATCGTAACTCTTCCCTGACGCCCGAATGATGCTGGATTCCCACGTTTCCGCGCTCGAATCCTCTACAAACAATGTCCGAAGGACATATTTCGGTGAAAGTACTTCCTCCAGAGTAATATATTCTGAGAATATTTTATTCTGAACGAATCTGCCTTTGAAGGAGAACCCTCCACATACACATCCGTCGCTCCATCCAACCATTACTGGGTACCACCCCTCTCCTATCCCCTTTCAGCTGGAGTTTGCGTCATGCTGCGGCCACCCAGCCCCAAGACTCCTTCCTACATTGCGCGAATTGAGAGAATCGAATCTGATGCTGCGGGTCGAGTCAAGATGTGGTGCCGCTGGTACTACCGCCCAGAGGAGTCTATTGGGGGGCGTCGGTGCTTCCATGGAGTTAAGGAGCTCTTTCTGTCTGATCACTATGACGGCTGCTATCCAGAGGCGGTGGAAGGCGTGTGTTCTGTGCACAACCTGAAGGATTACGCTTACTTGGACGTGGTTGAGGAGGAGGACTTCTTCTGCCGGTTCGAGTACAATGCGTCAACAGGGATGTTCGCGCCAGATACAGTTGCAGTGTGAGTGGTGAGGATTCTACTTCACAGCAACAAGCAACGTTGTGCGTCGGTGAATTCCGGTTTGCATGCACATTAGCACGAGAGAATGAATGTCTTGCAGGGAAAGAAATTTGTCTCTGTAGATGGCCGAATGATGAATTCTGTGTTACAGAATGAGTGGAGTGAGCAGCTGGGAGTATCGGAACCCCCATGCTTTTGCCACCACACCGCAGGTACTGCAAGTGCGAGATGCCATACAACCCCGACAGTCTTATGGTTCAGTGCGAAGACTGCAAAGACTGGTGAGGATGAACATGATGCAATGTCTTTTTTCCTGCTTCTCCTGTTGTGCCTTTGACTATCTAGTTACTCCTGTGCCTTTGCCGCCTCTCCTTTATGTCTGCACACCTGCCTGATGTTCAATTTGCAAAGTTTGAAATGACGACCACCCCTTTCCCCCTCATCTTGTCCATTATCCCCACGTCAGATCCCCGTCGTGCACACTTGTTCCATGTTTGTTATGTTGCTAAGAAATCGTAGCTTGTTGAAAGCTTTCAACAGCCCATTTTCTTATGCATCGTTACCTACATGAGAGACAATTTGCATTATTTTCTGTTCTTCAGGTTCCATCCAGAATGTGTCAACTTGCCAAGCCGTGGGGTGGAGTCCATGAAAGACTTTATTTGCCCTGACTGTAGCTAAGGAGACAGAGTTCATGTATGAATTCTGCTGCCTTGTGTATTTATGTAGTTATTCTTCTTCAATGTGCATTCCCTAGCTTAGATAAACATGGATTGTTCCACAATTTGTATTGTTTAGTGCATGTTGCATGTCCATGTAACAGTGAGGGTACATGTATGTAGATCGTTATGTTACCAGAAATGTATATCGCCACGTCACACACCCCTCGTCTCATTTCCCCACGACAGCAGTCTTTCACTGGAGGTGAGCTGTTCTCGGTATTCCCGAGGAACAAACAGCTCTGGCAAGGCAAGGCGCTTTCGTTCCTTCCCCTTCCCTCCCTCCCTCCCCTCCCACAACTCGTCTGCCAATCGTAAGAGCCAGCGAAACAAGGCCTGCCCCAACCATGAGAAAAATGTTGCCTCCTCCAAGCTCTCAGCCTCCCCGTACCAACTCACTTGTGGTAGCAAGACACCTGGTAGTACCGCAATCTTCATGCCAATACTCCAGGTTCCCTTGACTTCTGTTACTCATTCTCGGCTGGTTGACGGTAGGTGTTTTCCCGCTCTTTGCTAACCCTCACACGTGGTTGCTGTCAAACTGTTTTAGTGCTTACATTGTGAAGGCTGTAGTGGGGTAGCCCATAAGGGGTACAACCCAATTAGGGTTAGTACTTGTACCGAACTTTCTGTTCAATCCATTCATTCTCGTTCGGTATTCTGACATGGTTTCAGAGCACGTCCTGTTCTAAGACCGATTTTTTTTAGGGCCCACCACAGAGCGCTGCCCCACTAGCTGCCCTGCCGCCCTGCCCTAACTGTCGCGCAGCCCTGCTGGCCGCTGTGCCGCCCTTAGCAGCCTGCGCGCCGCCCTTTGCAGCCTGTCGCGCCGCCCTTTGCAGCCCGCGCGCCGCCTTTAGCAGCCCGCGCGCCGCCTTTAGCAGCCCGCGCGCCGCCCCTGCAGCCCGCTCGCCGCCCCTGCAGCCCGCTCGCCGCCCCTGCAGCCCGCGCGCCGCCCTTTGCAGCCCATCGCGCCGCCTTTAGCAGCCCGCGCGCCGCCCCTGCAGCCCGCGCGCCGCCTTTAGCAGCCCGCGCGCCGCCCCTGCAGCCCGCGCGCCGCCCTTTGGCAGCCCGCTCGCCGCCCCTTGCAGCCCGCGCGCCGTCCTCTGGCACCCCGCTCGCCGCCCTTTTGCAGCCCGTGTCAAATTATATGTTTACTGCTATGTAGGCTGTAGTGGGTTTAGCCTTAGGGGGTACAGTAAGTTGCTCGACACTTCATTGTATCCCCCTCCTTGCCCTAATCCATCCCATTCCTTCCTACCTATCTCAACATGGTATTAAGAGCTATTAGGTCCTTAGGACCCGATTTTTAAAAGGGCCCACCGTTAAGTATTCGATTTCCTGCCCGAATCGCGCCCCTAGGCGCATCACTTTTTAATCCTGCCTGAATCGCGACCTTAGGCACGTCGATTTTCTGCCCGAATCGCGCCCCTAGGCACGTCGGTTTTCCTGCCCAAATCGCGCCCCTAGAAGCGACGGTTTTCCTGCCCGAATCGCGACCTTAGGCACGACGAATTTCTGCCCGTATCGCGCCCGTAGGCGCGTCGATTTTCCTGCCCTTCCAGCGCGCGCCTGCCCTGCAAACGCTACCCCCGCGCTGCGCTGCCCCGCCCGCGCGCGGCTGTCCTGCCCTGCCCTACGCGCTGTCCTGCGCCGCCCGCGAGCGCCTGCCCTGCGCTCTGCCAGTGACCCGCACCCGCGCTAGTCCTGCCCTGCCCTACGCGCTGCCCTGCGCCGCCTGTGCGCGCCTTGCCTGCGCTGCAGCTGCTGCTAAGCTACTGCTGCCGCTTGCCTCGAGCGTGCCCTGCCCTGCCGTGGGCTGCTGCGCTGCTGCTACTGCTGCACTGCTGCTACTGCTCTGCTGCTGCTGCCGCTAGGCTGCTGCTGCTGCTAGCCTGAGTTGCTGCTGCCGCCTGCGCTGCTGCTGCCGCCTGCGCTGCTGCTGCCACATGTGCTGCTACTGCTGTGCTGCTGCTGCTGCTCAGCTGCTGCTGCTAGGCTGCTGCTGCCGCCTGAGCTGCTGCTGCCGCCTGCGCTGCTGCTGCCGCCTGCGCTGCTGCTGCTGCCTGCGCTGCTGCTGCCACCTGTGCTGCTACTGTTGCGCTGCTGCTGCTGCTCAGCTGCTGCTGCCACCTGTGCTGCTGCTGCTGCGCTGCTGCTGCTGCTGCTGCTGCTGCTGCTGCTGCTGCTGCCGCATGCGCTGCTGCTACTGCTGCGCTGCTGCTACTGCTCAGCTGCTGCTGCTGCTAGGCTGCTGCTGCTGCCTGAGCTGCTGCTGCCGCCTGCGCTGCTGCTGCCACCTGTGCTGGTGCTGCTGCTAAGCTGCTGCTCCCGTCTGCACTGCTGCTGCTGCTGCTGCTGCTAGGCTGCTGCTGCCGCCTGAGCTGCTGCTGCCGCCTGCGCTGCTGGTGCCGCCTGCGCTGCTGCTGCCACCTGTGCTGCTACTGCTGCGCTGCTGCTGCTGCTCACCTGCTGCTGCCACCTGTGCTGCTGCTGCTGCGCTGCTGCTGTTGCTAGGGTGCTGCTGCCGCCTGAGCTGCCGCTGCCGCCTGCGTTGCTGCTGCCACCTGTGCTGCTGCTGCTGCGCTGGTGCTGCTGCTAAGCTGCTGCTCCTGCCTGCGCTGCTGCTGCTGCTGCTGCTGCTGCTGCTGCTAGGCTGCTGCTGCCGTCTGAGCTGCTGCTGCCACCTGCGCTGCTGCTGCCACCTGTGCCGCCGCTGCTGCTGTAACTACCGCTCCTGCTGCTTGCTGTCGTTCTTGCTGCTATGGCGACTCCCACTGTTCTAGCCTTCGACATAGTGGGGCACCCTCTAGGGCTCGACTCCTGGCTAGAGGGGCTGCACCTGTACCTCCATAGTGTCACTCGCGACGACGTCTCACTGTTCGAGCACACGTCGGGGTCTCTTCAGGCCCCCAAGGCTCCTGCTGAGCCTGCTGCTGACGCTGGGGAGGAGGATGGATGGCACGAGACGCCGCCGCCACACTTGCAGTTCGCCTTCACCTCTCGTTCGACCAGAGAGCCAACTTTCGCCAGGTGCCGTCGGCCCATGCTATGTATTCCGCTGTGGTTAGGCGCTACTCCTCCCCCCCCCTCCTGCAGTCCTAGGCTGTCTTGCGCTGCCTCTTACCTTCCCTGCGTTGTCAGACCTCATCACTGTAGCTAACGAGGGTGGTCGTAGTGGAGCTGGCGGGAGTGGCAGGGGCGGGCACCAGGAGTTAGAGCCTTCGTGTGTTGCTGCTCGTGCGCCTACTAGCACAGTCTATGCGCACCCCTCTACTGTTCTCTCGTGTCTCGTAGTCCCGTCTGCCTCCTCTGGCTCGACCGAAGGGGGTGACCCTACTGCTGCCGACATAGCAACCTCTCGCCGCTTGCCGCGCTTGGAGACACCTCCGGGTTTTCCGCCTCGGACGTCTTCGCCTCCTCTGCAGCCTGTCGCTGCGGACTTCGGGGGCCCAGGTGTTGTTGGGGGTGGTGACGCTGGGGATGCTGGTTCTGGGGTTGCTGCCTCTGAGGGTGCTAGGAGTCCTATTGTTGGTGGAGTTGGAGGTACTGGCGCTGGAGGTGCTGGCGCTGGAGGTGCTGGGTCTGGGGGTGCGTTGCACTCGCTGCTACGGCGGCCTATCTTCTTGAAGCAGCCGTCGTCGTCGCTACCTGAGCCGACGCCCACTTGTACTACTCCTCCTCTGTTGTTTCCGCCGCCTGAATCCCCACTGCCTGGTCCTGCTCGATACGTCCCATTGTCCATCTCCCTGACTGGGCGTCGGGAGCCTGTGTCTTGTGCCGCCTCCCCTGCTCCCTCTCGTGTTACTCGGGAGCCTGTTGTCCTGCCGTTACCTCCCCCGTCTTCTCTTCCTGCTGTTCCTGACCCTGTGTCTGACCTTGCTCATGCTGCTCGCCCGACTATCCCTTGTTGTCTAGCCGCGCTTGTGACTGCACCTGCTTCTTCGCCTGCTGCTGCTTGTGCCTTAGTAGCTGAGCTCACAGGCTTTGCCACTACTTGCCGCCGTGTCTACCTTGCTGGTCTCGTTTCTGCCTCTTCGTGCCCTCCGTCCGTCAGGGGTGAGCTTGCCCTTGGCTGTGACGTCCTTGAGGACAGGCAGTTCGAGCTGGAGTACCTGTCGTACCCTCTCAGCATCTGGACTCGCTACGTTGCGCCCGGGAGACACCACCATGCGCATTGGCGGGCTGCTAGGAGGGTGTTGCGCTACCTGGTCAGACTAGCGAGAAGAACGTAGCACTTTGCATTTCGTTCCTTTGCCGTGCGAGTGTTGCAACAGCGTTCCCAGCTTCGCCTTTGTACGTGGCCACACGGGCCAACACTGCTTGTCTCTTGACCTTGTCTTGTACTTTGATATATAAACCTGCATGTTTTTGGTTGCTAGGTTGTAATCATTGTACTGCTTGCTTCATTATTAAACTGCATGTGAACGGGCCTTGTGGCCGCTTGCTAGTGCTCAGAGTGCGTGGTGATCTTGAGATCCACCCTGAGCTTGCTTTGCTTTGTTTCTTCTCTTGAATGGTCTTGTGACCGCTTGTTGTGTTTACTATCCCCCACTTCGCCT